ATTTCAATCACAGGTTTCAATCGGTTTCCAGAAATTTACAAAAATAATAAATAAAAATTTCTTTGAAATAAATGATTTATTTAACCAAAATCAGCAACATTTTGCTAAAATTCTTGTTAAGTAGTAAATAAGTATGGCAAGGTAACTTTTCGCAAAAATCTGCTGATGACTTTGTTGTTGTGAATCGATAATCGATTAATTATATTTAAGTAGTTTCTTTCCCGTACGCAATGCGAGATCCCGCGTGTGCCCAAAATAGCCCAGAAATCATGCCTGTACTCAACAAAATGGGTAATAGAGAGCGAAAATTCGAGCGTATTCGATCGTAAGTGTATTCTTCTTCCTGCCCGAAATAGCCCGAAATTCTCTCCGAGTAAAAATGGATAAAGTGTCAAAGTGCATATCAGCTGTATTGTGTTTACATGTTGCCTGCATTTACTTGGTGCTTTTAAGGAAAAGTGAATGGCCTGTTGATGTATTTTCAATCTATGTACTTAAAATCAAATTTGTGAAACCAAAATTCAATTTCCAAGTGTTTGCATTTAATACCATGTTCTGACCGACAACCAAAACATTTTTCCTTCATTTTCTTTTCATTTACAACCTTTAACTTTCATTCTTATTTTGCTTTGGCCAGGCAATTAACAATAAATCCGAAATGGCGTATTAAAGATGATAAAATATGACTTCCACTTCGATAAATAATCGAAAAAAACTAGTGAAGACACCGATTGGAATGAGTGGAAAGTGAGTTTTCAAGTAGTTTTCAGCGAAAACTGGTTTTCGTTTAACAGATTTTATATGGACGAAAACACAAGTTTTAGGTCGAAAACCAGTTTTAGCAACGAAAACATGTTTCCGATGTCGGTCAGAACATGGTATAAGTGACAAAAACAAGAACAACGTGAATCAGCTGTTTCTCGACTTGTGGGCACGAAATGTGGGTTTTTGCGTTTCCGTACTTCTGAACTTTGTTCCATTTTTGAAAGAAAATGTTTCTCTTATTCTCTAATTACCAAATCCGGTCCGGATTGTTAGGGAAAGAACCTAGTGTTGATATCATCAGTGAACTGTAATTTTCGATATTCTTTCCTCAACGTTTAAGACATTGTGATTTAAATAATATCAACAAAATTTCTGGGAAAAACCGAAACCGGAACGAAACCGAAAACAAAACCGAAATAAATTTTGAAGAACGAAACCAAAACCGAAACCGAAACACCTGGCAAAACCGAAACCCAAACCGGAACGTTATTTTGAATCGGTTTCATTCCTTGATTTTTATACACCACATTAAAAGTCTATAAATTCCCATTTTCAAAACATGTTTGGCTTTTAAGATCGGATAAAAAATACTCAAGCTCAAGTACGAAAAGGGTTGACTGTAGTGTACGTCGACATGTGTGTGTTTTAGCAAAAATATAACGAATTGTCTCATGAAACTTAACGAGGATGCTAAGAAAAAGATATGTTTACATAAATTCTCCCTTATTTCACTTTTTTAATACTAGTATTTAAGTAATTTGTTGTTAAAAATTTTTGCACTTCCATTAGCAAATTTTCATATAAAAAGTGCAGCTATCACTTGAACTTGCATTCCCACGACAGCCGGTTCTACGTACCGGAATGACTCGGGTTTCACCCGACCAAGGGCTGTTGTTTCGGCGATCTAACCCCGTTTAGGTCGGCGAAATCCATCAAACGTTGTTCGATCCTAGGGCTACACCTTCTTCGCACCCTTCTGCTCAGGGCTGGCATAGAGTGAAACGCAGGGCCAGAAACCTACACCTGCTGCGTATGCCAGAGACGACTGCATACACACTCCACCTCGGTCAGGTGCAACGCCTGTGGCGGGTGGAGTCACCTCCGTAACTGCTCGGGCCTGCGTACGCACCGGCAAAGGATCACGTCGTTCGTGGCCCCATGCTGTGCGAACCGGACCACCTCCACAGCAAACCACCACCCGCCTGGGCAGCACATAATCAACACACCCCAACACAACACAACAATAGACACACAAACAAACACAATAGCAACCACACACCGCCGCCGGCAACTCCTAGTCCCTCCGACAATCTGCTCTGTTTGTCAGTCCAGAATATACCGTAACGTGACATCAGTCAAGTGCAACTCTTGCCTCGGCTGGTGCCACTTTAGGGCGTGCCCAGGACTTCGCAACACGCGAGATTGGACGAGTAACTATGTGGGCCCCTGCTGTGCTGCCCCGCCGCATCCCTCCCCCGCGACGCCGCCAACCATCACAAGGCAGCACCCCCTTTTGCAGCACGTACAGCAGGGGGCCGGCAGGCAACACATCTCTTTAACACCACACATCACAATCGGCCTCCCAAGGCGCACGAAGATGCTACAATTTAACTGTAACGGACTCCAGAGCAAGATCGAGGAGATAGCTATCTTTATGGGAAGGCATGGAATATTAATAGCTGCGGTCCAAGAGACGAAGTTGCACGGCAAATCAACCCTGTCAGTAATTTTCAGAGACAAAACTAGCAAGCCACGTAAAATTAAACAGGGGGTACCACAGGGTGGTGTCCTGTCCCCGCTACTATTTAATTATTACATCTCAAAGCTTCCTCAGCCACCAGAGGGTGTTAATATAGTCTCGTATGCTGACGTTTGTTCGATCATGGCGTCTGGGAATGGAATTGATGACTTGTGCTCGAAAGTAAACGGTTACCTCTCCGAACTTTCTCGCTTCTTCACTGCAAGGAGCGTTGCTCTATCCCTGCGAAATCCTCGGCAACCCTTTTCACCACCTGGACGAAGGAGGTCAGACTGCCACTGGGTATTCACGTCGATGGCGTAACAATACCGACGGTGAATAACCCGAAAATCCTCGGAGTTACCTTCGACAGTCTGCTCTCCTTCTCGGCGCATACAACCGCAATTGTCAACAAAGTACAGAGCCGCAACAATGTCCTCAAGTCGCTGGCCGGCAGCACTTGGGGCAAAGATAAAGAAACGTTGTTGGCAACATACAAGGGAATTGGCCGGCCGGTTCTAAACTACGCAGCGCCCGTATGGTCGCCGGGGACTAGCAGGACGCAGTGGATGAAGCTACAGATCTGCCAAAACACGGCTTTACGAACTGCGACAGGATGCCTCCTGATGACGCCTCAACACCACCTTCATGACGAGGCCCAGATGCTCCCAGTGAAGGAGCATAACATAATGCTCCGCAAGCAGTTCCTTGCTGGGAGCCACAGACGTGGCCATCCCAGCGGACAACTGACAGACGAAGTCCAGAGGTATATCAAACAACCTCTGGACCTGTCAACCTACCGACAGGCCCTGAACGGCATTCACAGGGAATCAGTCTCAAGTTAAGTAGACTCCCGCCCTGTGAATGCCGTTCTAGGCACACAACCACCGGACGTGGACGGGACAGAACTTTTTCTGCATCGGGAGACCCGCACTACAATAGCCCAACTTCGTTCTGGCTATTGCAGCAGGCTCAACAGCTACCTGAGCGGAATTAACGAAGATGTGCCCAACCAATGCCCGGCATGTGGAGAGTCGCCACATGACTCCCGGTACCTCTTCACATGCCCTGAGAACCCCACTCAGCTAACGCCCCTGTCCCTATGGACAGCCCCTGTGGAAGTAGCACACTTCCTGGGCCTCCCCCTAGCTTAAATTGACGACAACGTTGATGGATGAACCGCCCCTAACGGGGCTTAGTAGCCGCTACAACAACAACAGCAACAACTACCTGGACGAAGGAGTAANGCGCCACAACAACAACTTGCATAAATGCACGATCTTTTCAATGTTCACATGTGATTTGTTTACAATAAATGTATTTTATTTTATTTTTAAACAATATAAAACGCGTTTAACCATTTCACCACTTTTCTTCAACAAAGTAAACAAGCAAACAAATCAAAATGGCTGTATTACCCTAACAGAAGGGTGCTACCACATGTTCGAAAATTAGGGACAGTAAAATACCCAAATTATATTTCATAATGACCTCCACAACATAAGGGTAGGTTTGAATATGTGCTTTTTAAATAACATACTTTAAAAAAATTTCAATTATGGCCATTTTATTTAACAAAAGTATATATTTTTCTTTGGAAAATACAATAATCAGCCCGATCGCCAATTCCATGTGAATAAATTGTTTTTGTTTTGCTTTATAATTTTTGGGAATATTTTTTCATGTGAAATTCGCAATAGGGCCGATTAATAATCCATATGTTTTGCATTTTTTAATAAACAATATTAAAATAGCAAATATTTACGCCTGCGTCGATATTTTTTATAATATAAAATATTCAAAAAATAATAATTTGGAATAAAAAATCGCGTGATCGTCTGCGGCTCTATTTGAAAAAAAAAATTTAAGAACCTAAAAAAGGGTAAGCAGTAACCATAATAGACATCACTGGGGCGGCAGCCCCAGGTTTACCACACAGAAAGGGAATTCTAGTTACCTCATCCTTTCCCAAGGCTACATCACTGGGACGGTAGCCCCAGTTGGTGCACACCGAAAGGAGAATTCTATTTGGTAAGGGTTATAATCCTAAAGCGCGGCCGAAGGCCGCCTGCGCAGAAAGTAATTCTACGCAAAAATACTGTGGACGCAAGTAAAAATTGTGATGATAAATCGTCTGGCAGCACCAACTTCGGTGTTCAGTTGCAACCCTCGCATGTTTACTACTTCACTACTTTTATAAGTGCTTTATCGTGGTTAAATTAACAAAAATATCATATTACTTAAAAGAAAATGGTCATGTGCATTAAAAGTGCTTACATTTAAGTCACATTTATCTATTTCACGCACTTTTGGATGATAAAATCGATGCAATTTGCATCAACATATTTGGTGAATTTCGCAACTTTAACAACAAATTACTTAAAAACTATAAGTGGGCGCGGGTTGGGGTCTTCACTTTTAGAATCAAAATCCCCCCCCCCCCCTAGACGCCCCAATTTATGTTTTTTTCGGGTCGATTTTCACTAAAATTTCCCCTGCGAAAATAACGTTTTTTTTTTTAAGAAATAAAAATGGAGAGTTCAGAAACTATAAGAAACGAATTTTCATATTGTACTCGATCCTACCTAAAACCTACACTAATTTTTGCTTCGGGTGTACTTCGTGATTTTTTTTTTTTTGTAGCACCGTGTAATTTTTGATATGACAGAAAAACTGTCTCAATATAAACAAAAACGTCCGTAAGTCAAATACAGTGTACATAAGAAATATCGACTTTCAGGCAATAGTAACTTGATCTTTAATGTACTTTTTCCTTATGAATATGTATATTAAACAATCTCCTAGATTAGAATTACACTTAAAGCCACTCATTTTACGTTTTCACTATCGTACTTGTATGTTCCAAAATGCTTGTTGGTTAAAAAATCAAACTCCGAATTCCGAATCAAAACTTTACCAATATCCTGTGTTGTAATATCTAAGATTCCTGTGATTGTATGGTTATGTTTTGAGGCGACTGTGTGTCTCAATAACTTTTCAATGAACATTTTTAAACAGTGTGTAATAACTGCTTGCGCCAAGGGGAAAAGTACGTCGTTTTCAACTTGCTCCGATTGAAGTTGTATTTCAAGATCCCGACAAATTTCACTTACGAGAAGTGAGTACTCTTCAAGATGCTCCGGTATCGGTATATATAATTGCTGCTTCTTTCTACATCTGTCTGTATGCTTTAATTGCAGGCTAGCGATATGAGTAGCTTTACGACTTCTGGATTCTGGTATACTAACAACATCAATTGTCCAAGCAGTGTGTTTTGCATTCGCTTCAAGGACCAAAAATGTTTGCCATATTTCATCTATCCACGATGTAATACGATATATATGAGTTACAGATTCGTACTTAAAAGACTCCTGTTCGAATCTAACTTCCTTCTTTACAAACTGCGAAAACTCTTGCCCCTGCTGATAATAATATTTATTAGGCTCAATGCATCTTAGTTCTTGTGGAGGGTTCCCTCGTGCTGAAAAATTGAGTGTTTGAGGTTGCAGTAAGCACCACGCACCGTCAAATGATTTCATTTTGGGGGCGAATACATGATGTCGGGCATAAACTAGCACTTCGCGCGTACTCCAAAACCGTTCTCTGCTTTTGGAATATAATCCTTGAAATTGTTTGTGATTGCGTACAAACCGTGTAATATATTTAGCCCGGAGCCATTCACACGAACGCTGTTTTAAAACAGGAAGCGCATCGAATTCCTCAAAACTATGATGCACAAAAGAAAAGGCGGCAGCCAAAGTCTTTTTCATAGCAATCAGTGGCAAGCGACGTAATATATAATCCACAGCGGAGCGCATGCTCGGGACATTTTGTGCCAAAAACTCTTTTTCGAACTGAATTCGGCGTTGTTGCAGAAGCTCGAAAGCGTTGCTTTCCATAGTGTCTGTTCCCCGTTCTGGTATACGTGCTCCCATTTCTCGAGGTACCGGTGCGTCACCGTTCTTTAAATTAAGCGATAGAGTATAATCGTGATCTGATATAATACTTCGAAACGCTTTCAATTGCATTTTTTGTTTGTGCGCCTCTTGCTGACGTTGTCTCTGCATATGAGATTGTGGTTTTAACAGAGATACCTGTTTCCCTCGTTCTTGCTTAAGTTTCATTTGTAAGGGATCAATAATAAATAGTTTGCCTTCTTTCTGGAAAACTGTTTGCTTAGGATATCCAGCCATTTTGGTTTGTGGTATGCTGCTTGCGGATTGAAATTGATTTTCATTGTGCGATGATATTAATCGAGGAGTGGCAACATCTTTAACGGTATCTGTCATCGTGGTAGAGGATTTCGATGATGACGGCGATATAGAGACCGTATTTTGAACCGAGACTACTTCTGTAATAGGTATACAATAAATATGTTAATACAAGTTCATATGAGACTGAATAAAAAATGTTGAATAAATAAAAATATTACGCATTTAAATGTATGAAAGCCATATAAACCTACGTTCGTTTAAAATATCCAGTAAAAAAATATCTAGCAGAAAAATTCGGTCGAAATATCATCTGTTATCTAACAAGAGAAAAATATCCAGAATAGTACGCGAACAGAAAATTCGCAGAAACTTGCAAGTTAGACGAGCAGCTGACAGAACTTTTGTTATATTCAAATGTGTAAAATTGAAAACGTAAGGAAACTGGTCACAAAGTGTTATCCGGAACCAGTTTATTAACTAACCGAATAATTACTTACTTCTTGCAAGTTTAATTAGTCTTATTTTATCATTTTGAACTTCCAAACCATCAAACACAATTTTGTGATTTGTGTAAATTCCAACCAGCTGTTTTTGATCAGCTGTTTTCTTGCTGACAAAATCTTTCCAGCAGAAACTAACCACTTCCCCTCGAATAGGCTTGCTTTGCTTTCGGAAAACACAAAATTTTTTTCATTTCTCGAAAAAATTAGGGAAAGGTTCTTTATTTTTATCTAACAAATACCATTGGCAGCTTCAAACTTGCACTTTATTATACTACAATTTAATAAGCTACAAAACTGAATTGGGATGAAAAGTTTGTGGAATTATTTAAATTTTTTACAAAGCCTGAAATTTATTTGTTAGATAAAGAGCTATACTTTTATATCAAAATAATGAACCTTAAACAAGTATAAAGTCTAAGTTCAGGGGGAGCCGAACATTAAATACCCGACGCAAGTATTAAACATAGTTTTTCACCTTTCTGAAAACTGCCGTTACATGGTAAGAAGAGTGGTTTGACCCTATTTTTAACAATTTCGATGGTATGTTCAGTTATACTTAATGAGATAAAGTTAGTGTATAGTTAGATGTGGGCGGTATCACGCCTACTTTCCAAAATTCTATAATAATGTTACTTTTTTTCAAGGGATTGTTGTTAGTATCAATTTTGAGTAAATTACCGTCCTTAAAATTCGAAATATCGAAGTTTCAAGAATTTCTGAAATTTACCGTTGTATGAATGTTTTGTCTTTATGTGGCAAGCACAATAATCGTACCGAGTTTGGTACAAATTGATCGAACGGTTAGCGAGATACAGATATTTGGTCATAAGTGGGCGGGGTCACGCCCATCTTCCAAAATTTTATTATAAGCGTATTTTTTGCTAAGGAATTATTGCAAACATCAATTTTGAATAAATCAGCTTCTGTATTTACTGATTTATTGAAGATTTCGTATTTCTCTAAATTACCGTTATATGGGGTGTGGGCGTGGTTATTGTCCGATTTTAAAAATTTTCAGGCTTTTGGTATGTTGTACCGAGGCTAACAATTGTGCCAAATTTGAGAGAAATTGGTGAAGCGATTACTAAGATATATATATATATATATATAATCATAAGTGGGCGTGGCTACGCCCAAAATCCAAAAATTTATAAACTTCTTATTTTACGTCTAAAAATCATTATAAATATTAATTTTCAATGAATAAGCTTCAGTATTTACTAAAATATCGCAGTTTTCGTAGTTCTTGAAACTACCGTTATATGGGAAATGGCCCATTTCGCCCATTTTCAATACAATATGCCGTATTTGAACGGTTGCCGAAAGCTTTAGAGCTCATTTGAACAGTGCCGAAAGCATGATAGCTCATTTAAGCGGTTGGTGAAGGCAAGACGGCTCAGTTAGCGGAGGCACGCCATAGAATTGATTTGTTGCAGAAGTCATAGCGCCGAGTTTGATTTGTTGCTGAAGGCATGTTTGATGGGTTTGCCGAAGTCATGTTTGATGGGTTTGCCGAAGTCATGATACTGTAGTTCAAAAACAATTCAAGGACATTTGCTTGTTTGAAATGAAGCATTGATTGATGTACATATGTACGTATGCTTATTCCTCACAACTAGCCTGCCAACACGCTCTTGGCGCCATCGGTGGGTAAAGCAATTGAATGGTAGACGCGCAATAAATACATACATACATACGAGACGATACATTACCCATTCGTCGTGCTTTCAGCAACAAGTCAAATGGCTTTCAGCAACAAGTCAAACGACTTCTGCAACAAATGAACTGCGCCGTCTTGCCTACGCCAACCATCCAAATGAGCTCTCATGGCGCCTTACTTCGTCTTTCCTATTTAGTTTCAGTACGCATTACGTAAGCTACGGTAGATGAAAGGCCTTGGTAAATGATTTAGTTATGAATCTTTTCTTGTTTGCTTTGATCGATTTACTAGCAATGTACTGAGGATATAATATAACAAAACTATGGATATAACAAAACTATTTATTATTAATTAATTTATTCAGTAATTCATTTCATTTACAAACGTAATTATTATTTCAATATGGCAGAATCAATGGAATATGGAGGCCCGCCATATATTCATCGAAATTCTTGTGAAGGCGAATATACTGAATGAGTTAACGTGTTGTGATTAAATCGGCGGAATAATTGCCAAGCATTCGGTGTTTATCATCGATCAGTTCATATGAATTCGAACCATGTTTCCGTGAAACATAGGCTCTAATTTTTGGTGGGGCTAGTTTTTGTGCATAGCCCTCTCCGGCCACGGACTGTTTAGGATTGGGAATGTACACTTCCGGGCCTATCTCGAAATGTCGTTCTCTTTTGCGGGTCAATGCCCGTTGTGCGGTTTGTTGATATTGTTCGAACTGTTTGTCTCGAATTTCATCAGCCAGAACTTTACGTTTTTCCACCTTCTGGGTATGGTATGGATTTACATCCAATAATAATTTATATTCGTTTCCATCTTTCACATATTCACGACCGGTGTGTAGGAAATATGGCGTGTAGCCCATGGCTGAATGCACTGAAGTTTTAATATCATGAATAATACGAGAAAGATAGTTTTCCCAGGAGGAATGTTCAAGAAGATCAGCCATGTGAGCACGTAATCCAAGTTTAATGCTTTTGTTTGTCGCCTCTACCTGATTGGCTTGTGGATGGTACAAAGGCGTTTTCATGTGTTTGATATTATAATCGGCACAAAGCTTTGCGAAAGTTTGACTGATGAATTGAGTACCATTATCTGATATAATGAGTTCGGGGCAGCCATTCACCGAGAACATATGTCGAAGATAATTGACTACGGATATGGCGTTTGCGTTTTTCCTGGGCTGCGCCCAGACATACCGCGAGTAACAGTCGATGGCTACGAAGATCCATTGGTTACGATTTTTAGACATGGGCAGCTTTCCGACGAAGTCAATCGATAATTGTCTACCCGGTCGTTGTGGGTCTCTATATTCGCCGTGAGGTGTTTTGGTGCTCTCATTACTTGGGTTAATGCGGTGGCATAGTTCACATTGCCGAACGTACTGGTAAACAGACTCATACATATTTGGTCAGTAATAGCGTTGTGAGATACGTCTATAACTTTTCCAAACACCCTGATGCGAATGTTGGTTATGATTTTCATCGAGGACTTTTTCTCTGTCAGAAGATGGTACACAAAGTGTCCACAGTATTTCCGCACTTTGATTGGAAAATTTCAATCGATGATACAGGAGGTTGTTCTCGATTTTATATCTATATAATGGTTGTTTTGAGGCCATGGCATGCATTTTGTTGTACCATTTATCGC